CGAGGTTTCGGCAAGGGGTGGCATAGAAATGTAATATAATAATAATATAGACCTGTGGCCAACATCCTGTTTCTGGGCAAGGTGCTGGAGCGAGTGGTGGCGGGACAACTCCAAGCACTCTTGGAGGAAACTGATTATCTGGATCCTTTTCAGTCCGGCTTCAGACCCGGGTACAGTACTGAATCTGCCTTGGTTGCCCTGTACGACGACCTGTGCAGGGAGAAGGACAGGGGGAGTACATCCCTGTTGGTTCTTCTGGACCTCTCGGCGGCTTTCGATACCATCGACCATGGTATCCTTCTGGATAGACTTGCGGGATTGGGGGTTGGAGGCACTGCTTTGCAGTGGTTCCGCTCCTATCTCGACGGTCGATTCCAGAAGGTAGTGCTGGGGGACCATGTCTCTACGTCATGGCAGCTATGCCATGGGGTACCACAGGGATCCATTCTATCCCCTCTGCTATTTAACATCTATATGAAACCGCTGGGAGAGGTCATCAGGAGGTGTGGGCTGCGGAATCATCAATACGCTGATGATACCCAGCTTTACCTCTCATTCTCCACTAACCCAGATGAGGCAGTGGCTGTGCTGAACCGGTGCTTGGCCGAGGTAAGGGAATGGATGAGGGCCAATAAACTGAAACTCAACCCAGACAAGACGGAGGTCCTGTTGGTTGGCGGATCGGGTTTCGGAGAGGGTGGATTTGACCTGGTCCTGAATGGTGCAACACTCCCTCTTAGGGATAAGGTCCGCAGCTTAGGAGTACTCCTCGACCCGGAGCTTTCTTTGGAAGCTCAGGTGACAGCGGTAGCGAGGAACGCCTTCCTTCAGCTTCGGCTGATTAATCAGCTGCGCCCCTACCTGGAATACGACTGCCTGGCGACGGTGACACACGCGCTGGTGACTTCCCGCCTAGACTTCTGTAACGCGCTTTACGTGGGGCTTCCCCTGAAGACAGTCCGAACACTTCAATTGGTGCAAAATAGAGCTGCCAGGTTGCTGACGGGGACGGGGCGTTATGCTCACATGACTCCAGTCCTCCATCAGCTTCACTGGCTTCCCATTGAAGCCCGGGCCCAATTCAAGGTGTTGATTATGACCTACAAAGCCCTAAACGGCTTGGGTCCTGGCTACCTGAACGAGCGCTTACGTCCGTATATGCCCGACCGCCCTTTGAGATCTGCGGGAGAGTCCCTTCTCCGGGAACCCTCCATGAAAGAAATTAGGAGAGTAAATACCCGGAGGAGGGCTTTCTCTGCGGTGGCGCCCAACCTATGGAATTCACTCCCCAAAGAGGTCCGCCTGGCACCGTCGTTACTGGTTTTTCGGCGCCAGGTAAAGACCTTTTTATTTAAACATCATTTCAATTGTTAAAACATATGATCTGGCCTGGGCAACTTCTTCTTCCTTCTCTTTCTCCTCCTATATTTTTATTTTATACTGATAATTTTAATTTTGTATTTGTAAATCAATGTATTTTTTGTATTGTTATATTTAATGGTAATTTATTATGTACTATTGTATTTCAATGTATTTTATCATGTTGTAAGCCGCCCCGAGGTTTCGGCAAGGGGCGGCATAGAAATGCTATAATAATAATAATAATAATAATAATAATAATAATAATAATAATAATAATAATTGCAACAAAGCTCCAGACTGTAAAACAAGCAGGCAGGTAAGAGAGAGCGAAAAGCCTTCAGCGAGCTCTTCACTGAATCTCTTGGAAAGGTGAAGAAGAGTTAACCAAACATTTCCCTGCCAGCTCTTGAATACTGGAAGCTCAAAGGAACCTCAAGTGCCTGGGGAAATGCTAATGAAAGCAAAAGCTGTTTTTCTCATACCTTGGCATTAGGTCAAATCCAGATATCAAATGGCTGTTGTGTGTTGCCCGTGTATACAGGGCCAAAGTTATGTAGCCTGATTTTCCACGAAATGATTTAGGGCTTCTTCCTGCCCCCCTCCCCACCAAAATTGAGGCAGGTGTTAATTGCTTCTTAGGGTCCATATATGGGGGGGGCATTTCTAGGGGGGTTGTCCCATGGACCCTGCTTGGGTGTGGGGCCTTGGCAGTTGCCCATGTGCGCCTAGTTTTGATACCAGTGTGTGCATTTTATTTATTTATTTTATTTAAAACATGTCTATGCCATCCTTCACTATCGCGTCTCAGGAAGGCTTACAAGATTAAAACCAATGAGCATTAAAACAATCAACAATACAATAAAATTGGCATAAACCAATTGTTTATCAGCTGCACGTTCAAAAGCAGTAAAGGCATTCCTTATGGAAAAGAATCTCTGGATAGACCCACTCTGAGGAGCGGCTGCATTGCAAGGCACGCTTTGGTGCTTTGCTGCATGCGGCCCCCCAGTGGTTTTATGCAGCCTTCAATGCCTCCCACCCAGTGCCTCAGCCCCTGAATATATTCCCAGTTTGCTGCCAGGATTGCCGCTCACCCCAGCTGCAGGAATCACGGCTGTCAGCGGCCAAAGTTGCTTGGGCAGGGAGGTGGTTCAACCTACCCCAGTGACCCCAAAGTTTTTGTGCAGCTACCTGGGCCACAGCCAGCAGCTGATGTGGCTAAGGCTGTACGCACTTTTGCATATGAAAGAATGGATGTGAAGTTCTTTGAACATTTCAAATAAGCCACGTAATTGCTTTGTGCTTATTATTGCTACTCTGAAAGCAGATGAAGGATGAATGTCATCCAAAGTGACATTTGGCTTGAGCCAAGAGAAACAACACTTGAATCCAGAAACAGAGATAAACCAGGTCTGTTCCCAGTGTAGGCTTTCATGGAAGTTATCTAACAGGAGACTTGCAGAACCAGGGTCATGGCCTTCCCCTTTTAATGACTGCATTGTCTTCTAAGATAGGAAAGTTTGCAGTCGTGGCTTTCACACATCTCTTTTACCACTTCACAGCTACTCAGTGTGTGGCTTGGATGGGCTGTGCTGGGGAGAGATGATGGATTTCTTTAGGGAACGACTTTATTCCAGGAACACCCAGTCCCCCAGTTACAAACGTCTGAGTTAAGAACAACCCCTACTTAAGAACGAGCAAATCCTGCCTCGGAAGGGAAGGATAGGAAGGAGGGAAATGGAAGGAGGAGGCTGAAAGTGGTGCCGCTGAGCAGTGAAGTTGGAACCAGAAAGCAACTCCTGTGGCAACAGCACCCCCAGCCTCCAGCAGCACAATCAAACTTTGACCTTCCAGCACCAGGTCCATCCTCTCCAACACCAGTCCCACCTCCAGCATCATCCAGTTAACACTAGTCTTAAAGGGTAACACTTCTTGAGCTAACATTAATAATCTTTTTACCACTTCTATCCTTCTTTCAAAACTTTTAAGAACTATATGGTACACCTATAGAATCATAGAATCATAGAGTCGGAAGGAGCCATGAAGGCCATCGAGTCCAACCCCCTGCTGTTACAGTGGACACCACGTCACACCAGCACACTCAGGGGGCTGTTCAGTTGCTGTTCAGTAGTTACTTTATCATTACTGTATTGTTATCATTATTAAAATGCTGTATTGTGTTCAAGATGCTTTAGTGTATATGGAAGTGTTTCTTCAGTGCTTTATATGCTTTTTATGTATGTGATTTGATTTACATACAAATGGGACTTAAAGACAATCTCAGGAACGGAACTCCTTAACCTGAGGACCAGGTGTACCTCTGAAGGTGCGCATATTTGGATATAGGCGTATTGTCCAGGAATCTATGATTAATGACCTCCATGAGGGCACTTTGGAACCATGGGACTGACAGAGGATAACTCTAATTCCCAGTTCTTCTCTGCCACAAAGTTTCAAAATCTACCCCATCTTTAACCTGAACAAAGCAGCTTTGTACCATGGTTTTAGTTAATTAGTCGATCTGATAGAAAACATATGCCTCATCATTCAAGCAGATGAAGATGGGAGTTGGATTCTTCTTTTTTATTTTATTTTTTGAAAATCTTAGCAAGAATGTAGCTTCCTTTGAAGGAGCTTGGACAAAGTCTCACAAACAATGAGGTCAAACTTTCCTAACTTGATGCACTGGATTATAGCTCCCACAATTCCCAAGTGGTATGCCCAATTGGCTTGGGGTGACTGAAGCTGCCGTCCAATGTTGTTGAAACATGGCTTATCGTGGTCTGAACCCATCTGCACTAACAAGCCGTGGTTACTTAACCATGATCAGGCCATGACTGGTTAACCATGATCAAAGCATGAAGAGAGACAGTGTGAAGTGGTTGCTAGAGTGCTGGACTAGGGACGTGGGTGATCCATGATTATCAATAACAATCCCATGATTTGCAGTTGAGTTACCACGGCTTGCTCTCTCCGCTGTGTTCAGACAACATGATAACCTGCAGGTCATCCCCGACCTGAGTGCGGCCTGTCGGGTTACCTGAGCCCAGTCGGACTCTCGCCTCCATTTCCAGCATCCAGTGGGCGCTTGCGGCTTTTCTGCGGAGAGGCTTGCGCTGCCAACGGTGAGGAAGGCCGCACTCCCTGCAGCCACCCTATGCTGGGACCGCGTCGCGGCTTTCCGTTCAGGACCCGAAGTTCAGGGTGCGCTTGCGGCTTCTACCTCTAGGGGGAGCGAGCCAAGGGAGGGCGCTCCGGCGCGGCGCTCTTCCGGCGCTCTGGCCGCGTCGTCTCGATGGCCGGAAGCGGGCGGGTCGGGCGCGTTTGTCGCGGTGGAGGCCGCTTTCTCCGCTGCCGGCGCGGCCGCTGTGACGGCGAGGCCCGGAGGCGCGCGGGCCCGGTGAGGCGCGGCCAGCCGGCCGGGGGGAGGGCGGGGGGCTCGCGGGGGCGGGGGGGGTCCGTGGGCCTCGCGTGGGGGGGCGGGCGCCGCGACAGACAGCCGTCCGGCGGGCACCTGGGCTCGGGTCCTCGGCCGGGGCGCTCGCCGGCTTGCCCTCCCCGCCTGGGTCCTGCCCCTGCGGTCTTGGCCCACGCCTTCCATTATCCCCCCCCCCCCGGCGACGGGAGTGTTACAGCTCAGCGCGGAGCGGCCGAGACTACCTTGCAGGGCTGTTGTGAGGGAAAGCATGGACGGCGCCGCGAGGGGTTGTGTGTGTCGTGGGGGGCGGAAGGACAAGTGCCATGATGATTTCTCCCTCCGTGTTGTACAGTGCCGGGCACTTTGGAAAGTCGTGGTGGGATGGAGGGTCAGAAGGGTGCTGCCTGGAAGGGGTCCTTAGCAGAGACCGGTACCTTTTTCATAAGTCAGAAAAATGGATTATGATGCTTCTGGCTGAAGCCTTTTTGGGGATTTAGTGGGCCACTGTCAAGCCTAAACAAGCTTTAATTATTTATGCATTTAAGTTCTCTACCGCCCATTAGCCAGAGCAGGTTTATGTAGCCAAGGTCAGGAAAGAATACTTGGGGGGGTGGATAGCGTCAAGAGAGATTGTCAGGCTATAACCTGTCAAGCTAAATCATTTTTAAAAGCGGGTGGAGGAGAAATTGTGCATTAATTAGGTAGTGCAGGAGGCTGCCGAAAGCAAGACTTGGGGCACAATTTTCTGCATGTTTAGACAGAAAATAGCTCTGGCTGGCTGAGGAATGCCATAAGTTGTTTGACTTCTTCTCAGTCTAAATATGCAAAGGATTTCCTCCCTTCAGAAGTGTGAAACTAGCAGTAATTGAGCAGCAGGGATTCTTTGAAGCATAATCTTCTTATTTCTCATCACATGTTTTAGTTCATTTGTATATTTTAGAATTATTGAGCTCGAAGGAGCCTCAAAACTCACTTAATCCAACCCCTTGCTAAAGCAGGAAATATTGTTCTGCTGAACTCTTCTGGATGCTTTTCTGAAAGATGACACACTTTTTTTAAAAGATTTTTTTGTGGATGAGGGGGTATGAAAACCAAGCAGTTGATGGGAAATTTAGCGAGCTCAGGATGGAACAAGCTTGCTTAAAATGAAACAACAGGCCTTGCTTTGGGGTAGAGATTAGGTTTGTTCTAGCTGAGGTATGTACAGAAAGCCAGTTTGATTAAAGAGGCATTCCTCGAGCATACCTGAACTGGTGCTCAATGACTGATGCTTTGGGAGAAGGGCAGGAACTGGTCTGGTGCCTGTAATGAGCCAGTGATTCTGGGCAGAATTTAACAGAGCACTTATGATTCTCCCTATTCTCTTACCATCTACCATTCCTTTCTACAAGTGATAATGTCCTGCTGGTTCTGCTATGCAAGTGGAGATTCAGTGATTTCTAGAGGGAGCGCCTAAATGAGCCGAAACACACATTCCTCAAAGGAGACAGCTCAGTGGAGCATTGCTGTGTGAGCTTGACTCACCTGCCCAAGTCTAGAAATGAGTGTTTCTGCTCATGTTGGTCCCAGAGCCTCTAAATCTACTCTGTGCGAGTGGCAGAGGGGGCCTTGCCCACTGATATAGGCAGTCAGCTGGGCTGTGGACTCCTTGCTGGATTCTGCCAAACTGGTTTGTCACATTTTTCATTGAACTCAGTTATTCCCTGCCTTTTTCCCCTCTTGCAAGGAGCCTGAGGCAACTTACTTAGTTCTCCTCCACTCCATTGTTATCCTCAGGTAGGTTGAGCTGAGAAGGGGTGACGGCCCAGTGTCACCCAGTGAATTTCATGGCCAAGTGGAGACTAGGGCCCAGGTCCCCAGTCCAGCACTTCGACCGCCCTGCTTCACTGGCTCTCATACAGACCTGAACTTGTAGGACTTGGGGATGTTTCAAGGTCTAAAAGGGCTAGATGGTGAAGCTGATGGGAAAGGCATGTTAATATTAAATATGAGGTTGCAAACACCTGAGGTTCATAAGGAAGGTTTGTGGTTGGAAGGGTACTTTGGAACGTGGCTGAAGTCTTATGCAACTTAGTACATTCTTTATCTTATAAGCTTAGATATGGATGCAGCCTTTTGCCTGCTTCATAGACATTACAATGTGGACATTGTAAGGGTCAAAGAGAGGGTTATGTGTCCTGTTTGGAGAACATGTCCGTAAAGGTAGCGGTTTCCTTTTCCCAAGAGATAAAAAAGTCCACCCTTCACAGACCCCTATGGTTTATGTCCTTGAACTCTAAAGCAATGAGTCAGTGGAGCCAGTAGCTATCAGTCAGAAAACCTGGAACACTCAACACGTGCCTGCTATTATATTTAAGAGAAGACAGTCCCTTGCAAACTGGGCAGGTTATTGAGGTCTTTCTCAGCGAACCGTCTCTTGGTCCTGCCTGCTCAAATAAGGATGCTGGTGGTCCATGACAGGGCCTTCTCAGGAGTGGCGCCTCGGCTCTGGAGAGCTCTTTCTGGAACGGCTTGCTGGGGCTGACATCTTTGCAGGACTCGATGAAGACCTTCACACTGGCTTTGACTCTTTTACTCATAGAACCCTGTTTTAAGCTGCCTCTGTGTGTCTCTCCACTGTTTATGCTATTTTATATTGTGTTCGTATATATTGTATTTTAATTTAGCCACATTTAGGATTCAAACATTTAGGATATGGGTGTTGAGACAGGAGAAGGTTTTGCAAACGCCCAGCATTCTTCAGCTGGCATGGAAGCCATAGGATGATTTCCCTGTTAAAGATCCCTAGGGTTCCACTGTCCAAGGTTTTGTCTGAAGAATGGCATTATGAAATAGGTTGAATAAATAACGTTTATTTCCAGGCTGCCCCCATGAATTCTCCTGTGGAGGATGTCCATGATCCTCTTTGCCTGCGTGGTGCGGGTGAGGGATGGACTTCCGCTCTCGGCCTCCACAGACTTCCACCTAGACCAGGACTTCTTGGAATGCAGGAAGAAACTCAAGGCCTTGTCATCCATTCTCACGTGTTACCCAGATCGCGGGACAGCGAACGAACGTGACCTCCGGATACAGTAAGCAACACCTGGGCGGGAGGCGAATGTGGGCGCTATCTGATACTGTCCTGAGGGGTAGTTTCGTGCTCATGTTCTTGCCCCAATTTTGACGAGCGACCCAAGAAAAGCTTGTGATAAGTCAGGGCAGGAAGTGATTGGACCCTGAGCACCTTGGAAGTATGGCCCACAGTGGCACGCAGACCTTTTCTGCCCCATAGTTCAAGCTAGGGTTGCCCACTGGGCCAGTTCCTGACTCCTAAGCCCTCCTCGGAGGGCTGCTGCGAGCTTTTTGCTTATCTACTATGTCTGTAGCCCTTCTTGAACAAGACAGGATAGAAATGTAGTAAATAAATTAAAAACACACTGTTTAAGAAGTGTTTTTCAAACCCAGCTCTTTGCTAGAGTAATTAAGCCCCATTAAGGAAACCTGAACGCTGAGCTGAGCAAACCAGGAATGGCCGTGACTCACATTTTGGTTTATTCAGCTGCTGCTTGTCTTTGAGGGAAGCAAGGAATGGATAGATTTGGTCAGGCCCTTTCGCTTTACAAGGCCCAGCGGGTTATCTCAAAACTGAGCTGACGTGTATTTACAGACTATGACATTCTTGTGCAATCTAGACTATAGAGAGAAGGTAGGGGAACCATGTGGGATGTAAAGGTGTGGTGAGCGTGACTTTGTGTATTGTATCCCTTTAATGTATTCCAACAACCTTGACCAAATGCTGTGAGCCCTGGGTGCTTTCTTTCCGTACTGAAGATTAAATGCACCTTAATGACAAAGTCTCTTGTCAGTCTAAGTCTCTTAGTCTCACCTCTATATTTATAACTCTGGAAAGCAGCTTGCAGCTTGCCCCCTTAAACACGCTTCTCTTAAACAAACAAACAAGCAAACAAAACCAAACCAAAACCCTGAAAGTGAAGATTCACCAATTGGCATGTTTTGCACAAGGTATCCATTTCTGTGCTCTGGTTACAAAGATTCTGGGTTATCTGGAGTCAAATTTTAAGAACAGCTTTGATTGCAGCAGTTGGATTTCTGTCATCAGTGCAGCTTCCTCTGTTCCTTTTTGTTGAGTGCGTTTGTGTCTGTGCATAAGTGTAGCTTTTGACAAATCCTGGCTATTTCTCTTCTCAGCTTCCATTCTTCTGGGGACGTTGCCTGCATGGGCATCTGTAACAGCAGCTACCCAGCCGTCATGGCGTTCTGCTTTCTGGATGAGCTGCAGTGGGAATTTGCCACTTCCTATGATGCCGCAAGCGTGGGCCTGGCTTCCAGACCATATGCTTTTCTTGAATTTGGTGTGTAGCATGCTTGCTTTGTGTGTCTCCTCCTCCTCAGGATTTTTTTTTTTTTTTTTGGGAAGTAGCATGGTTAATATTGCTCCTTTTGCTTTCTTGTGTATTGGATGTGTATTTGAGCTTCATGATGTGACCGGCTAGAGACTATAGCTAGCTCAGAGTAGAGGGTGTGGTTTTCCTGGAAGGTTTCCCATATTCCATCCCTGGCATGTCCAGGTAGGGCTGGGAAAGACCCTGCCTATAACCCTGAGGAGGTAACTTACAGCCTGTGTAACGCTAATGAACTCAGTGGACCAGTGGTCTGACTTGGTATACTTCCTGTGTTTCTAAGTATAGGACTTAGAGTCCTCCTTATGCAGTGCTGGTAAAAATTAATTTGGCTGCTCCCTTAGGCGCAAAAAGGGCCTCAGTGGCTTGGCTGGAAACTGCTGGGAGTTCTGGGACTATTTTTCTCTAAGTATGCACAGGATTGCATCCTAAATGTAACATATAGGAAAGGCTGACATTTTTGCTCTGCTCTCAGGTACTGGAATAGTGAACCTGGTCACATCGAACTTAAGCCAGCAGCTGTCCCAGCCAAATGGGGGTCTTTTAATGCAAGTGCCTGTTTCAGCTTGAGTAACCGACCTGGATGGCAAATCAGCCCCAAGGGACTGGCATATCAGCGACCACCATAGATCGCTTTAATGGACTGGACAGATTGATGACGCATGATGCTAGGAGTCACGGAGGCTGTCTGCTTCCTTCAGCATGCCCTTAAACACCAGTTGCTAGGGAGCAGCATTGTGGGTGGGCAGGGTGGGCACCGTGCACCTCCATATTTTATCTGTGAGCTTTCCATGAGCTTTCCATGGGCCTCTGGCTGCTTACAGTGTGGAGAGAGACTCCCGAACCAGGTGGAACTTTGGCATGACCCATCAGGGTGGTTCTCATGTTCTTAGTTGTCCTGTCCTTCCAGCTGTGTTCTGTGCTAAATAAAAATGTATGCAAATTCTGAACTCAGAAGCTGCACTCCACAGCTTGCAGGTGCTCTGTGGACAAAGCCTAATCGTGCCCGTTTTCTTGTTTTCGGTAACCGCTTGTCTTGTTCCTCTGTTTCAGACAATGTCATCCAGAAAGTGAAAAGCCGTTTCAATTACACTAGTGATGCTCAGACAAAATTCAACTTGGAAAAAATCAGAGAAGAGCTTCGCTTGCATCCTCCTGCCCTTGTGAAATTGGAAGAGCTGGAGATGAGGAACGGGATGGTAAACGGCCACGCAGAGCTCCACGTTGAGCCTGGTAAGTTTGCCGCCCAGAATGGGATTCTGTTTCTTATCCCCGGCCAAGAGATACGGCTGGTGCTGGTTAATTTTAGCACTGTTTGCGGACGCCTCTGGGCTTTGCAAGAGCCCAGTGCGAGCACGAAATGACTCGTTGACATAGATGCAGGAAAATACGCATATCAGCATCCCCTTAGCACAGGGAACCTGCTGAAGGTAAGCGTGCGGACAAGTATCCATAAACTCAGGCAATGTTATTTGAATGCTGTAAAGCCGCGGTCCCCGACCTTTTAGCACCAGGGACCGATTTTGTGGAAGACAATTTCTGCATGGATCGGGATGGGGGATGGCTCTGGGATGATTCAGGCGCATTCCAGTGGCGCCTCATACTTCGAACTTCATTTGTTTCAGGAGGCTGTTTGAACTCTGGATTGTTTGAAGTCCAAAGTAGTGTTCCCATTAGAAATAGTGGGAAGTGAATTAATCTGTTCCCAGACCCCTAACAATACCCATCTCAATAAACTGAAACAGTAAATATGCATAATTTAAGGTACAAGTAACACAATGAAATGCCAAATTTATTAATTAAAACTTTAAAATTAATAAAATGTGTAAATATGTACAGAACTGTATAATAAAATGAAAATTGCAAACTTTTAAGTGAGGAGCGGTGAAGCAGAAAAGGCTCGAGAAGGCAGAACGATTGGGAAGGCAGGCAGGTAAAAGGGACTGAAAAGGGTCGAGGAGGCAGGCAGTTAAAAGGCAGAACCATCAAAAAGTAGTGAAAAGCCCAAGACGCAACAGGAGGCGAGCGCTGACGGCACACGACCGAGGGCGCTTTTCCCACTGTGCCCGCGGTTTGGACTTAGAAACGTAGTTCGAACCTCGAAGAGATTTTTCCTTGCCTCTTAACATTTGAACTCTTGCTCTCGTCCACCGCTCATCACCCGCGGCGTGGCCCGGTTCCTAACAGGCCACGGGCTGCTCCCCTGGCGGTTGTGGACCCCTGCTATGAAGTGCAGCTTTCTGTGTAGCACATAGAAAGCACTGCAAGAGCTTCACTTACTGTTAACCCATACAGCAGTCCTTTATGGTAGATAAATCGCGTTTATGCTGAAGAAGGGCCGTGTTCACCAGTCTCCCCCCCCCCCCCCCCCCCCCCCCCGATTGGCCTGTAGCCCCGGCATACAGAATGCAACCTGTGTCAGCCTTGGGAATCTTATCTCTCGTCCTCAACATCATGTGTGGAGCTTTGAATCTCATCCGAGGCGTCCACCTTGCAGAGTATTCGTTTCAGGTAAGCGGGACGGGAAAAGGCAATCAAGGGAGCTGGGGGCAGGGACTGGCACGCATCGGGAAGGCTCGCTTTCATTGCCGTGTTTGGCCTGATTTTAGCTTGCGTGTTTTCTGCAGATACACTGCGGATAGGAATATACTAGTCGGGTTGTACGTAATTACAACAGTAAGGATGCCCTCCTGTGCATATTCAGACAGAAGAAGTCTCATTACCCTGTGCTGGGGATTGTAGGACTGTTTTTCTGTCTAAGCACAGCTACAATTGTTCCCTACGAGATGAATCACCCCTGAGTAACCAGGCAGGGCAGATCTCCAAATGGGGGTCTTTTGTCATGGCAAGGTAGCACGGCCCCCTTTGCAGTCTGATAATTCTGTAGATTTAACTTGCCCAGGCTGAGTTAACTTGACCTTCAATTATCATCTTCCAACAGGAAGATCACAAAGGAATTGGAAATGTAATAGCATTTCTCCTGCCTTTTGCGGCCTGCTTTTTATCAGTAAGTAACCTGCCTACTTTCTTCTCTGTTTTGGTGGAGCTGATGCTTCCTTTTAAAAAATCACGAGCTTCTTGCCTGCACTTGCATGCTATTTTAAATACAGTCCTCTGTGTAGGCAGTTTTGATGCCCAGAAGCTCAGCACGTGCTTCTGATGTTTGTGTGTTTAGATCGTTAGGAGATCTATTCATAGCACAAGGTTCATGAACCTTCATTCTTGAAACTGGCAGATTCTAGCAACCTTAGGAACACAAAGGTCCTGTTGGATCAGGCCCAGGATCCTCCCATTCGTCATTCTCTGCATCTACCAGAACTCACAAGTTCCTTGACCTCTCAAAGAACATGTACTTTTAAAACTCTGAAAATGAAAGAGAAGGAAATGGCCGAAATTGCACATCTTCAGCTGCCACAAATCCACACGGTCCTTTCCCTAAATGTCCTTAACGCATCCTGCGTCAGTCGCTGTTCCTTCCCTCAGTCTTTTGCAATCCCTGCCCCTTGATCTTTTTGAGCCCCCTCCCCTGGTTAACGCAGAGGGTAGTTGCCTAATGGAGAGTCCGGGAAGACTTGAGCAGTGGCTTTGTGTCCCCCCGCCCCATCGCTCTTGCACGTCCGGCGCTTCTCTTTTGAGACGGCTTCAGCCCTGCAGGCCCCACTGTTCCATATGAGCAGAGAAAACAAAGTGACAGAGAACAGCTGTGCGGCTCCAGATCATGGTCCTTCCAGGCCGGCCTTCGGTTCACGTGGTGGCCGGCCAGCTGCCCGTGCGAGTCCCACGAGCAAGGCACATGCTCAATAGCAGCCTCCTGCCCAAGTTCCGCGGCAGCTGCAGGAATCGGGCAAACTGCCCCTGGTCCTGGAGGCAGCACAGAGTCATCAGGACGAGCAGCTCTCGAAAGCTTTGTCGTCCCGCCCCCGCTGCTTTCCAAAGCTGTTTGCATCCTAACATCATGAAAGAGGGGAGCACCGTCTTCCTATTTTCTCTACACCAGTTGAAGTGTCCCAGGAGTTATAATTTTTCTTTGCTGAGGAGTAGCTCCACTGGGTTGCCCTTTTTCGACTTTTTCCGATTCAACATACCTTTTTGGGGATGGGGGCGGTGCCCAGAGCTGTATGTGGTATTCCAGGCATGGTTGGATTTCTGCCAAGGGAGGTTACCTGCTTGTTAATATGCTCCTTATGTCTTTTTGCAGTGCTACCTTTACCTGTTCTACAGCTCAGCCAGGAAGATAAAGGTCTTTGTCCTTTTTGTCACAGTCTGTCTCTGCAACTTCTACTTGTATGGATTAAGGAACGTCTGGCAGATACTTTTCCACATAGGGGTGGCTTGTCTCTCTTCCCACCAGATACTGTCGCGACAAGTTGTGGAGAAGCATTCAGACTTTGGAGGAGTATGAAAAGAGAACTACCCATGGAATTCCAGATGTGGCATTTCAGAATTCCAGAGGTGCTGTTTCTGGTTTGGCAGGGTGCGTGTGTTGAAAGCTGGTCCGAACCAGGTTGCACAATATAGCGGGTTTTAAGCCGTGGCTGCCCCAGGCGAATGGGTCTTGGCATCGAGCGGTTCTAGATTGCAGGCAGACTCTTCTGCACACCTGTTCTGTACAGGTTAATGTGCATAATCCAGAGGAGAATTTGAGCATCACCTCTGGCGACCTCCTCGTAGGTACCTGCTGTGGGCTGATCTTGCCTTTTAGTAGACGGGTTGGTTGTAGCTGTACTTGACGGGGGACAAACAGTGGACCAGCGATGGAACAGGAGCCTGATCTGGCCCTGATGCTCCGCAAGCACGAACCGGGTTGCAGTCGGCTATGGACTCCATCCTGCCACAGGAGGCGACCAGACAAGGCCCTGCCCAGCGCAATGGGCCTTGCGGTGCGCGCAGGGGGAAGCCTGTGAGGTGAACCCCCTACAGCCGTGTTCTGATTGGTCAGGCATCTGCTCACCCCCCCGCCAGCACACTGCTGTGGGCACCTTTTAGGCTCCTGCAAGTCGAATGCCCAGGTTTTCGTGGCTGAAAAATCCATGTTTTCATGGGAAAGGAGGATTTAAGTGATAGGCAGTGGGCAACTGATGCGTGCACGAGTTCTTGAACGACGGGGCCCACTGCGTGCTTTAAGCGTAATAGTAATGAGGAAGTTGTGGACAAATGGGTAGCAGAAGAGTGGGTGGAAAAGGCGAGGATAATAGCCCTGTGAATGCCGGGTGGGGGCCTATCCTGGAGCATCCTGGTGAACGGTGCTTGTACACAACCGTCCTCAGCCTTCGTCACCGGCCTGTGAGTGCGTGAGAAGGCCTTGGAATTGCACGGAAGGGTTCCAGGTTCGCACACCAAGTGATGCTTCCTGCACTTGGTGTGCGAGGCTTGTGCCTGCTTTCCCCACACGCCGCTGGCGTGTGAGCGGACAGGTGGGGGAGCATGCCGGGCAGAAGGCGGAGTGGTGGTCTTGCAGGTGGACTTCCTTTCTGTAAGATACGTCTTTCAGTTTAACGGGGCAGCTTTAAAGAGGGGCTCAGGTGCGCACTGCCAACAGCCAGACTAGTTTGTGGTGGCGACTGTAACCAGCGCATCCCTCAAGATTAAGCCTTTCTCTTGGCAAACAAGAATTTCGTTCTTCATGGTACTTCTGGCAAGGCTTGGGGAGCTGGGATGGGTTTCATTCCCAGCCGCTACTACTGGCCCATTGCGATTGCTCCCTTATTGTCCACTGTTCCCAGACAAGCGGAATGTTTTTTCTTTTGCTTAAAAAATGGTCAGATTGGGTTCTTAGAGCAGAATATTTCAGAATTAGGCACCTGCTCAGTGGCCTCCTTGAATCCGATTTATTAAGCAGGCTTATGAAAGTTTCGTTCCTTTTCCTCGGATCGTTGCCTTCCATGTTACAGCCTGGCCAAGTAAAAAGATTCCTCCTGCCCTCCTTTGGCCTGGTCTGTCTTTGCCCTGCAGTTGCTGCTTGTTTGCAAACCAGATGCGCTCTCCTTCCTCGGAAGCAGGTGGCTTGCCACAGGGTTTGGCCAACTTCCTGGACCGCATCTTTTTGTATGATGTGGAAATACTGAAATAGGAATGAGTCTTGCACACGGTGCAGCCCCACGAAGGAAAATGCCGAAGCCAGCTTCAGCGTTCGACAACAGCAACTTCAGTGCGTTGTGTAAAGCCGCCGTTACCTTGGCCAGCTTTCCCCAAACATCATAGCTGTGCCTTCTGCCTTCCCATACTCTTGATGGAAAGTGGAAGTACATGCTTCTTCTGTATTCAAGTACTCTGTTTCCTACACCCTTGTAGCATCTTGCAGAACAGCGGTAAGCCCTTCATCCCTGTGGGACCATCCTGCAACTGGTTGCTTTTAGGATCCCCACTCCCAGTCGCTTTGGGTTCACAGATCCTGCCATGGCTGGCGACAGTATCCCAGGCTGCACCTAAGAACTTCCTCACTCCTTTTTCAGCTGCCACATTCAGGCAAGAAGATGGGAGATGGGTGCTTTCCGCTTGGAGAATGGAGCAGCGGCTTTCTTCATCATAGCAGCTCGATTTCTTTCAGGGTGCCTCTCAGCCTTCCTCATGGCACAGGGTTTGGGTATCTCAGAAAGAGCACAATAGCAGCATCTGCCAACGGCTCATAAGCACTGCGCCTCTGCTAATTTAAGACGTTACACCAAAGACGGAGAAGTGCAGGTGACTATATTTGAAAGCGGCTTGCTTCCTCAGCCAGGTAGCTGCACGCGACTTGTGTAAGGCGTGGCTGTTGGCTACTGGAGCCTCCTGCCTCAGTGGAGAGGGTGTGGCACATGGGAACTGTTTTGGAGGTCCTGTGGAATTGGCTGTGTGGCTGGAGGCCGTCTGCAGGCTTCTGAAAAGATTGGCTCCTGACGTGCAGTATCTCTGGACAAAAGCAGACAGACAAACACACGCATAGCCGTGGACGCGGTTGCCCTGTAACTCAGAGCAGAGCTGGCTCTCGCTCCCGGGTCACTTCGCCTGCTTGCGGGGTGTTTAAAGTCTCCCATAGGACGTTAACTTAAGCGCATGCACTTTTGAAAATAGTAACTAGAATTCATGCTTTTCTCAAACTCTGCTGCTTTTAGGTCCTGACGTCTAATATGTGGAAATATATGCCAGCATTTGCCATTTGTAGAACCTTTTTAATAATAACTTTTGGAACAAGTTTGTCGTGTAAAGTTTTGATGTAGTTTTCTCAGAGATCGCGGCAGTGTAAGATTTAACGGGAGATTCATACTTGTGATAGTCTGGTGGTTATGTGCAGCCATAAAACCTGTCAATCACTTGCCCATCCTTGTTTCATATTATGCAGGATTTCTATCCTATACTCAGGATTTCTGTTTTATTTCTTGGTGATGGGAGAGAAATGAGGATGGAGAATTAACTTCCTTAGTCTGCAGGCAGTCTGAACCGAGAACTGAGGAAATGAATAATCTTTTAAAATCTACTGGCAGCTCATACTGAGAGTTCATGGTTTATTATTTGGCATCCTCCTTCACGAAAAAGAGCTCATTCCACCTTCCCACCCTTTTATGCCAAAATACTTCCCTCTGTTTTGCCCACTTCCTAAAGCATACTTGTAGTTTCCGCATCTCTGTGGTATATGGTGCATCTGTGTCTCCAACTTTTAAGACCTAGGCTCTAGTCCTCAGTATGCATCAAGATGATTCAGACATTCAGAAAAAGCACGTGGTACAGTCCTCTTGGAGCTGCATGTCGAAGTGACCCACTTCACAAGCTCCTCGCGCACAGAACACCCGTGCACCACTTTGCCACCGCTGGAGCTGTCAAATGCACCAGGTTTTTCTCAAATTTTGAAAATAGTTCCATCCTGGAAAGTAAACGGTCACGGAGATAAACAGTGAAACTTTCCTGGCAGCGTGTTTTGGTAGCCACTTGGCAACTGCATCAGTCCCCATGTGGAGGAAACCACATGGTCAAGCGTGGAACTGTTTGGATGACTCTCCCAGTCCTCTTGGGTTACTCTTTCCCATTTTACAAACGGGACAGTGAGGCAGAGAGAGTGCCTGGGGTGGAGCACCATTCTCTTTCCCACATCCAAGGCCCAGGGATCCTCCATGGATGCATCGCCTTTTCCTGGCATTACCCCCTCCCTCCAGTCTGGGAGCCTCATCTTTTCCCTGCTTTTGTCCTGTTTCCATGCTTCTAAAAAGTTGGAATGTCTAAAAAGTGGAAATGCTTCAGATGAGTGGTTACAAGTAGTGGGAGCTTTGGGCTAAAACGAGCAGCTCTTTGCCTCTCCAATTAGTTCTGTCCACTGCTGGAATGGAGAGTTTCACTGAAATGCCATTTGGCCCTTGGTCTGAAAATGATTCCCACCCCTTCTGTGCGCCACACAAGCCATTCTTCAGTTCGCTGCTGTTTGTTTTTGCAAAGGAGTGCCATGTTTGAAACGGCTTTTAAGAATTTTTTTTAAGGTTGTGTATTGCGATCCAGCAGGGGCCTGCCGAGACAAACTTTGAACACGGCGAGAATGGGGGTCTAGGTGGTTTGAGTCTGTTCTGTGCCAGTTTGGCTATTAAGTGGGGGATGCTTCTCCAGACAAAAGAATTCTCTGTTTACAGAAAAGCAGCATGTCGGGAGAAGGGTCGCCTGGGCTTGAGCCCGTCTCTGGGAGAGCCTTTGTTTGGTCTGGTGGAAGAACATTCAGTCTGCAAGCTCCCTCTTCATGTGGCCTTTGCCATGTTTTTATACTGCCCCATTGGTCATGTTGGTTAAGCTGATGGGAATTGCAGTCTGAACATCTGGAGGGGCAGGTGTTTGCCTTCCTAGATTCAGTGCTGGTGCGGTCTTAGAGCAGTGGTGGTAATTCTCAACCGGTTCTATGTCAAGCCTCATCTACCTACCCATTTACAATTATTCTGGTGTTAATTAAAAGTGGTGGGAGAGCGCTCTCTCCTTTGGTGAAAATAGGCAGAGATGTGGGTATATTGTGAAGAGAGGAAATTGCAAGATTGGTGTGCTTTAAGTGTCCTTTTAGTTTAAAAGAGGAGCAAATCTTCTTTTCGAAAGACAGCCATCCTGTTGAAGCTAAGCAGGCCTGGGACTGGTCTGAGGTTGGAGGGGAGACCCCCTTGGGACTGCATGAAGCCAGCTTGAGATTTGCAAGGGGAGAAAAATGGGATATAAATATAATAAAGAAACACAAAGTTTTCTGAATAAAAATCAATAAACATCAAATTCCAAATTGTTCACCCTTTAATTACCAGGGAGACTGGGATCTTATATAATCCCCATGTCTTTTTTTATTTTTAAACCAAAGAAGCTTCACTTGTCTTTGCATGGGAGAAGAGGAACTGGGTTTTTCTGAAGACGTTTTTGCACTGTATTAAAATGACTGAACTTGTGTTACGTCTTTTTTGTTTTTGCATGAGTGTATATATGTATATAACTTCTAGACAACCAGAGTAAAAGAATAAATGACATTTTTGTATTTACCTGCTGTCTGTGGTTTGTACAGTGGAGGAGAGGAGTGGCCTGGGCCTCGGAGATTTCCTCTGTAGGCCTTTGCAGCTGCAGCGCTCCAGATTATTAGAAACGGAGAAACAGAGCGAGCCAAAAGGGGCCTCCCGGGCCATCTAGTCTGACCCCCGGCTCCAGCCGGCTCTGCTCACAACATGCCCACCATGTGGACGTCCAGCCTATTCTTGAACACCCGCATCGATGGGGCCTCAACCACCTCCCGTGGAAGCCCATTCCACACCCTCGGGGTCCCAACTGTCAGGAAGTGCTTCCTGGCATCTAAATGGAACCTGGGTTCCCTGAGCTTTGCTCCATTGGAGCACATCCTGCCTTCCTCTGCAGGGGAGAACAGGTCTCTGCCCACCTCCGTGTGACACCCCCTCACATACCTGTGTGTCGCCAACAGATCCCCTCTGAGTCTCCTCTAGGCTGAAGAGACCCAGTTCCCTCAGTCTCGCCTCATACCCCATCATCCCCTGCAAACCGGCCACCAACCTTGTGGCCCTTCGCTGCACTGACTCCAACCTGGCTATATCCTTTCTGTAATGAGGGGCCCAAAACTGAACACAACACTCCAGTTGCAGGCGCACCAGAGTCATACCGAGTGGCAATAACACCTCTCTCGCTCTAGAAGCCACACTTCTGGCTATGCAACCAATTATTACTACTTGGATTATTAATTATATGTTAATTATACCGCCCAGTAGCCTGAAGGCCTGATGGCTTGATGGGTCTAGCCCCATAGCTCATGGGTTTGGCCCACACTTCACACGGAGGCACTGTCTGCGTATGATGAGAAAATAAGACCCCTGCTGGATCGAACCAGTGGCCCCATCCAGTCCCGCACTCTCCACAAGCTGACAAACCGGCTGCCCAAAGATCCCTCCAGCAGGATGGGTGCGAGAGCTGCCCAAGCTTCTCAGCAAAGGAGGAAGCCCGTGGCCAGCAAGGCTAGTGGCCACTGACAGCCGCCTCCCCCAGGGGTCCGCCCAATCCCCTTTTAAAGCCATCCAATTTGGTGTCTGTCACCACTTCCCATGGCAGCAAATTCCATAGTTCAACTGTGTCATGTGAAGGACTCCTTTGCATTTGTCCAGAGATGAAGGGAGTGTCTCTTCCATTACCAAAACTACTTCCAAAGTCAAAGATTGCTAATCAGCAGCAGGGTGGAGGATTGTCCACAGAGCTGCCATTTCTGAGCCGTGTCGGCAGTCGGGGCGCCTTCCTTGCACCTGGTACCTGGTCAGCCCTTCCATCAAACGTGCCAAGGATTGGACACAGGTGCCTTTGGACACAAAGCTTCTGCCCTCTCACCGGGATGCACCAGCATTTAACCATGGTTCTGTTTTAATCAGAATTTTCCAACGTATGCAGGATCACCTGTATTCAAGACAAAAGACTTGACATTAAAGCATGAATATGAGTGAAATGGAAACCGACACATTTGCTCAGGTGTGGGGTTTGGGCATGTTTTAATAAATAAATAAATAAAATGTGGCTCTCCAAAGTCTGGGTCTGGGGTCCTGCATCCTCAGCTATCTTGCACTCGGCCACAGAATGCTCTTTCTCTCTGGCAGGCTCAGCATCTTCAACAGCCCCATGTCTGGGAAGTATGACACGGTGGTCTTCCTCCTGGGAGCGGCACCTCTTGCAGAATTTGCCTGGTGCAGGTAGAAAAGAGATTGCTCCAGATGGTGTTTCCCAGAATTGGCAAAGTCCTTTGAGAGGGAAGGAAGGTGTGATGTTTAAAAATCTGAAAGCGACATGAACAGATTCGTCCGTTTGCAACTCCCACTGAACCACGATGTTCTTTCCCTAAACATGCTTAATACTTTTTGCATAAGTGGCTTTTCCTTTGCTCAGTCTTTTCAATCCTCTGCTCCCTTTTTTCAGCAACCTTCCACCCTCTGGTTCTCCTAAGTAGGAAGACATTGCTCATTGGGGAGCCCTGGAATCCTGCAAGTAATAGCTCTGCTTTCTTTCCCTACATGGCTTGAGAAATTCTGTCGCTTCTCCATTGAGATGGCGGAAATCCTGCAGATGTGGCCAGTGTGGCGTAGTGGTTAAGAGCATGGGACTGGGACTCAGGCGATCTGGGTTCGAGTCCCCGCTCAGCCATGGAGCCCACTGGGTGACTTTGGGCCAGTCACAGCCTCTCAGCCCAACCTACCTCACAGGGTTGTTGTTGTGGGGATAAGATGGCGGAGGAGAATGATGTAAGCTGCCTTGAGCCCTTTGAGGAAAAAGGCAGGATATAAATAAAAAAAAAAAAATGTGCCATTTGATGTGAGCTCAGGATGCAGGTAGGAGCTTTTGAAGCTGGTCACAAAAGCACAGGTGGAGGCCTTCTCCCCCACTCCAACCGTCCAATAAGGTGCACCCGCCCCCCTCAAGGTCAGAAGATGGAAGGATAAAGTGGAACAAGTAGGATCCCTCGTATTTTTGAGGATATCTGACATTTGGACAAACTAGCCAAGCCGTTGACCTGCCTTGGAACAGAGTCATGTGCGGGATGGTCCAACTATGACGAAGAAAGTCTGCAAAGCCACGTGGCGTGCAAGACGAGCCTGGCAGAAAGATGCTGCCAGGGGGATTCCAGAGATCATGTGCACAACCTCACTCGAGGAGAGGCCTATTTCTGTATCGGGCCTGCTAAGGGGAGGAGACCTGTGGGAGTCCAGCCGCCTCCAGTCTGCAGCGTCGGTTGCCGTGCTGGCAGAGGGTGAAGTGTTGGACTACAGAACCCATCACCAACAGGACTCTGCCACGGTGCCTGGGGATGATGGGCGCTGCAGTTACAATGTGTCTGGAGAGCCCCAGGTCCGGGGTAATTGAGGCAGCACTTTCTCCCCTTGTGCTAATGCGGAATAAAATGGGAACGCTCTTTCCTTGCACATTTTGCTCTCAGCCGCCAGAGGGCGCCAAAATACCGACGCTGCTTTCCAGCACTGCGGTCTTGTTTTGCATCTTGTTCGCCTCGATCTGGTCCCGAAACGGGGTGGGAAGGCAGATCGCCAGACCCCGCTGCCTCCTGGCATCAGGGTTCCAGTCCCCGGTCCCCTCAGGGTTCTAGTCCCTATTTAGCAGAGCTCACTGGGTGCCTTGGGGCAGGTCACGGACTCCCAGCCCAACCTACCGCACAGGGGTTGTTAGGCTCGACCCACCTGGCACAAGTTAGCATAATAGGAGGCTTTGTGTATTGAGTTAGCATAATAGAAGGCTTTGTGTATTAAATTAGCCTAATAGGAGGTTTATCAGTTGCCCCAGGCATATACAGAGTGTTACTTCAGAAGATGAGCAAGGTTTATCAAAGGCGTAAAACTTGAAAGGATAGGCCAACTGCAAACCGCTCCGCTTTGCAACTGTCTCGCTTCTGTGTTATGCTAGCTCACTTAGGATGACAATAACAATTTTCCATTTGTTTGTAACAAGGTATAAAACCCCGCTGTCCCTCTACTGGGGGCCGGCACTCATCCCATCTTTGTGTGATAGTGCTGGTCCCTGCGCAGGTAAAATAAAAAAACTCCTTTTAAAAATACCAACTGGTCTCTGGTCTCATCTGTAAAACCGTGGGACACAACAGGGGTGTCGTTGTGAGGATAAAAGGGAGAGGAGGGGAGCCTTGCGAGCCCCCACGGGCTCCTCGCAAGAGGAAGACGTGCAGGCTGGCGGGGGAGCATTGGCCTCCCTCAAGTTCAGCCGCCCCCTAGAAGCGGCAGCTCACATTCCAGCGAAGCACCCACCGAAGCTTCCTCGGAAGTACAAACCGCAGCTTCGGTGGGGAGAGATTTGGCAGAAGCCTGGGAAAAGCGAAAGAGCTGAACTTGCACCCCTTTCTCGCCGCTTCTACCTGCGTAACAGGGAGCTGCACGAATGAATGGGATTCATCAGCACGGAGCGCCACATGGTGCAAGGAAAGGAGCTTCTCCTGAGTCTGGCCAAGAACGGAACGCACCTCCCTTGGTCTTGCTATACTTTGGGGAGAGATTTCGCAAGACCTGGGGCTGCTTCTGCTTTAGTCTTTCCTCTCCCAGACATCTCCCCAGACACGTCTAGAACACGGGGCCCTTGACGTGCGCATCACACGTCACGACGTGCAGAGAGGTGGGGAGCTGGTTGAAGACACGGAGCTCCTGACCTTGATCCACGGATGTGGTCTGAAAGGCAGGGAAGGGGGCTAGCCGTCCCCACCCCCTGCCCTCACCTAGGTGTTTGCAAAGGCGCCAAAGCCAGGCCAGCGACTGCGGGCAACCCAAGCCGGCCTTAACCAGGTCTCCTATAGCCTGATTGATACCGAGAGCTTTAAAGAACTAGAAGGTATCTTCAAGGGGTAAAAAGGTAGAGGAGGGAAGCTGAGATTAAAACAAGCGTGTCTACCCAACAGGCCTCTGAAGCAATATTGCTTTATGCAGGCTCTTGAACATTTCTGCTTTCATTTGCTTAAAAGAGAAGGTGCGTTATTCTCCTGACTCAGGAGAAAATATTAAAAATCTGCACTCCAAAAGCTAATGAAACAGACCACACGCACCCCATTTTATTGCTAGACTCCTCTGCTAAGCTGCAGAACACCCCTCGGTGTGTCTGCCCAGAAGTCAGCCCGGCTTCCTCCCGGGTCTGTCCCTGTACCAGCGGTGGGCGGACTTCAGGCTGGCTGGATCCACTTTGCTTTTTGGTAAAGCCCTGGCACCTTCCAACTCAGCCCTAAGTCAAAAGGCGTGTTGAGCGCAGGAGTTCAGAGTACCAGAACTGAGTAGTTCTCCCAGGCAGGTCTGCAAATCCAGAAATCAACCAGGAAATCCGGATCCACTCCTGGTGTTTGTTTGTTTGTTTATTTATTTATTAAAGAATTTCTATGCCGCCCCATTCGCCGAAGCCTCGGGGCGGCTTACAAAACATCAGTAAAATATAAAACACTAAAAATATAAAACGCATTAACATTATAAAATAAGTCGCCCTGGCCGAAGAATTAAGCAAA